GGATCTATATAAGATCTGCCAACATGAACTCAACCTTACTCTCAATATAATTAATTAAAAATTTTCAAGCTTTTAACATTTCACAATTGAATTTAAATTCTGCCACTATAGTATTTATAAAATTTGACATTCATATACGAGTATTCAACAAAAGTTTGACGCAATGGAATTGTTATAACTTAACAATAGTTTTGCTGATATTTGCCATTAGTATCATTAAAATTTGAAACTCGTATTATTAAAATTTTACAGTCATACTATTAATGATAGTAGTAATATTGTTAAAATTTAATAGGTGAAATTTTGCAATATAAATGAAATATAGTGTGGATACGTAATAAATCTTAATAAAAATCAGTTTTTGGCTATTTTTTTTCTTTAATAATTTAAGTTAATTGAAAAGACATTATAAATTCCAATCAATATGTAGGTACTTTGAAGAAACTGCAATTGATGATTTTATTGCATATTTTCCAAAATTAATTGCATATACATAAGTGATATATAGATAATTTGAACAATATTAATTGAAATAATTCCTTGATTGCAAATATATAGTTGACATTTTCAAAAATCAAGCAAAGAGAATATTTATATACTGTTATATATATTGTTATACATATTATATATATAGAGTTATATAAAAATCTTAAATCGGTTTTTCAATTATTATACGCAGTGTAATGAATTTGTTGTGAGTTAACCATAACATACTTAAAAAAATTGGTAACATTTTATTTGCGATATTTAATAAATTAATTAAATCTTTGCAATTTATTCTGTCATTCAATATATCTGAGTATTTCACTAATATACTCCCAGCTTGAAATAGTATGTAATAGTATAGTATTCAGTTTTTGAACTGCAAAAGTGCTGATTTTGAATGCAGTCATAGATTTTGTATGTGTAGATGATTGTTAAGGTATATATATATAAATATATATAAGAAAGGCAATTATTAAAATGACATATATCAGGATTTCCAAATTGTTAAATTTTTTCTCGCATTAATCATCATTCATTATTAACCGAATTTTTTTATTATCCGGTTTTATAAGATAAATTATACACGATGATGACTTCATGTGATTATTATGAATAATATTTGATAAATAATTCATATTGTAAGTAGACACAAAAATTTTACAATAAATGGTGATTGATGAATTTTCCGTAAGTATATACATACATAATATAATGGATATGAAATATATTTCAAGCAATCATCAATTTACAAAAGTTTATTTAAAAATTTACAATACAAAAAAAAAAATATTTAGTTTATCATAAATTCTAATGTTTACGTACAAATTCTTGTAAATATGTATGCAAGTAGTTTTTTTTAAGGTATATTCGTATATTTATATTTATTGTGCATAATTTATAATTATAAATGTGTAATATCATAAAATTAGGTTTTAAGTATAGTATAGTTTAAAGATATCTTTCTACAATTAGTTTTAAGTTAGAATTACAATAATTTTCGAAGAACTAAAATTGAAATAACAAAAAAAAAAATAATATTCAACGAGATTCTATATAAAACTAAAATTTTAGATTAATCTGAGTTATGTACATACTTATATGGAGGATATACTATAAAAGTATTCCTCGCTGCGGTTTGGCGTAGATTGTCTAAGATTTGAATTAGAACAGATGGTATTCAAAAAATGAAAGTGACATGGGCATATTTTTCTGCAAAATTTTAATTAAAATTTTTAAATAGAAATATTTTAAAAATTGTTGCTAAAAGTGTGCAGTTTTTTATTGCTTATTTTTTTCGAATTTATCTTCGCTTCATCTTTCTTTTTTTGGTTTTTGTTTTTGTTTTCAAATAATTTTTAATATTTTTTGTATTTCAATTTCGGGCGGATGTGTGCATAAGAGAATTATATTTCAAATAACTAAGAATTTTTATTTCGGTATTCTTTTCTGGACAAAATTTGAAACTCAATCTGTAACTAATGTGAAGAGAGCAAAAAAAAAAAAGAAGTCATATCTCTACCTAAATTGCTGAATGAAGAAAATTACAAATTAATTTGAATTTAATTAAAAATAGGTTATATGATACTGAAAATAATTTATATTTTAGATTAACCTTATTAATCAATTATCTCCCTTATATTTCTCTCTCACACTTTTATATTCTCTACACCTTTACACTGTTTTATGCTCACTTATTCAGTGTAAATATTGCAATCGTGCGTAAACACTTACAGAGAAGTTATTGCTGAGAGGTGTAATAATTAATTAAAAATCGATGAATTGGTTAGAAATTTCACCACATACCTTATCAAAATCAAAAAAAGAAATCTCATAAATTTTTGATATTTAAAAATGAACAATAATATAAATATATTATTGTATTTAAAAAAGTTTATATACAAGTATACAAATTATACATTTGCAGATAAAAATAGCACAGTAAAATGATGTTAAAATGAAAATTATTTTCACTTTTTTAGCTTTATATATGGTGATATAAAATGGCATTTGAATTTATGTGCGTGTGTGTTTGTATGGGTCGAAGAATCAAAAAGTATAAAATAATATCACTGAAGGTTTTACATCATCAATTCAGTTACGCAACTAAATACACAATGCAGCAGTTTTAAGTGCTAAATTGTGTATACATATATTTAATAGAACAATATAATTGAAATTTTATATGTATAATATTTTTGTAATTGAAGACCTTCAAATATCTTTGAGTTTCATATTTGCAGTAATACGGTTTTTAAAAGCTTACTTTGAACATAAAAATTTTTTTAACTGAATTTTAAAAACTATTTTATTACATTTTATGGAATTACAGGTTTTTGACAAATTTTACTTTACTTTAACTCAAAATATTTTTTTAAATTTTCAATAAAAAAAATAATATACAATATATAATAAGGCCAACAACATTATAAATGTATCTCTATAACCCATTAATTTTATGTATTTGCCAATTTGAAATTCCCACTATGTACAAATTTCCTTAATATTCGATTTCAGTTTCAAAATTTGTTGACTCTGCAAAATATTCCTGCATACTATATATAATTCCAAATAAATATTTTGATTTAAGCAGCTGTCGGAAATTCGGAAAATTACGAATAGCTTATTATCAATTTCGAATTACTAAAATTCTGCTCCGAATATTCGTAATGGAGTAATCATAAATTACAATTCCGTTCGTAGTAAATATAATTCTCGAAAGTCTACGAAAGAAATAATCTCACTTGACAAGCAATTAAAAGAGAGTAGTCGTATTAAATTCTCAAGTTTTGAATGTGCTAAAACCATGTTTGCCAAAAAAAATTTTTTTTCAGCTTTTCAAAAATAATCAAAAACTAATAAAAAAACTGTAAAAATTTCATACAAAAGGATATTTTAAAAAAATTTTTTTTTGTGTGAAAATTGTTTACTGATTGAACCAAAAAACATAAGCAAACATTATGCAGTTGAAATAAAATACTGATTTTGGCACTCCGAAAAATGGTACTGTCATTGATGATTCATAATCTCTACGAAAGGAATTTGTGATCATTCAAATGTCTACGTCGGTAAGTTCGTAATTCGTGAATTCTACGAGAGGAATGCCTGATAGGGTTGAATATTTTGTTTATGAAATATGAGTTCAGGTTTTAACACTATAAATCTAAAATTAAAGTAATACCGTACTAATGTACGATGCAGCAGTTAAGCTGAATTTTTTATACTAATTTTTTTGTATATTTCAAATTGTCATATACAATAAGTAAGCGTATAATTATTGCTATTAACCATGAAACCGGAAATGTAATAATGCTGTATTAATGCAGAATTCAGTTTATAAACGCCATTTGTTGAATTGTGTATTGATACAGTATTATTACAATTACGATGTCAGAGTAACAAAATAAATTTTGAACAAATTTTTTTTCACAACCATATATTTGCTTGACTTCCGAAATTCAGTAATACGGTATTGATACACAATTCAACCTATAAATGTATATTAATACGGTATTACTGTGTATTATTATTTTGGGAGTCAAAGTATGTATATAAATACATTTTGGAAATATTTTTAGCGAATTTCCTATAAAATAGGATAATACCTGACTTCAAAAATTTGAATGATACTGGTACCCTGACATCAAAATTGTTAAAAATATGGATACAGAATTGTGTACCGTATCGATACACAAGTCTGCAATTGGCATTTATAAGCTGAATTCTGCATTATTACAGTATCACAACATTTCCGACCACAGGGGTATTAATGCACCAATTCAGCTTTTGAATTAAAATTGTTGAATCCATATATACATTACCCGTATACTTTATTGTAATAACATTGAAGTCACACGGTATATATCACTTAATATTCCGTACTAAAGCATATAGCAATCCCCATTCTTAAGCTGAAACTATTATAATACATATATCAAATATTTTAATTATGTATATAATCAAAATATTTGATATATGTATAATATTTGATATAGGTATAATTATATATATATATATATATATATATATATATATATATATATATATATATATATATATATATATAAACATTACATAATATTTAAGAACTACGAAATTATTTTTTTAGAAACATCGTTTAAATGTTATATATATGCATATAATAGTACTATATATATATAAAATATATATATAGTACTATCATATATTCATATATACATATATAGTATTTATACATGTCCGTATATACATATATATGTATATATATTTATATATTATATATTTTATTTCGTATATATTATATATATATATATATATATATATATATATATGTTTATGTGTTTATTGCATTTATATATATATCTATAAATAAAGAATGAAATCAGCTCGTGTAGGCTTTTTTTACTCAAGTTTTAAAATTAAGATAAACAAAACAAAAAATATATATATAAAATTATAACAGATTATAATACACAAAAAAAAAATACAAAATAGAATTTTTTCCAATATTATGTTTTTTTTACATTTTTCTATTGAAGGTGATAGGTGGTGAGTTACAAGAACGTTTGATTCCGGTTCCATACAGCAAGAGTTCCACTGATCAAGCTGTAAGCTGCTTTCCTTTTCTCAAAAAAAAAAACAAAATTATTTTCTTGCTTCTTTATACTTTCTATATATTTTAATTATATATATACCTATATTTTATTTTTGTTTTATTATTTCTTCTTTTTATTGTTTTGGCGTTTGTTTAGTTTTTGATTTTTCTATTTTCTTTTTTTTTGTTTTTAGAAGTTTTTCATTCCTTTTATTTTTCTTGTTTTGTATCCTTGACTTCCAAAATGCAATAATATGGTATTAATACATAATTCAGCAATTTACACTTTCAAGCTGAATTGTGTATTAATACCGTAATACTGCATTTTCACAAGTCGGAGTTATTATATCTAATTTTTTCGTTATTTTTAAATATATTTGTATATAAAAATTTTATATTGAAATAATTGTACACAACTACATACATATAGAAATATATATATATATATTTATATTTTTTATATAAAAGTAGCTTTTATTTTTCATTTAAACAAAAACAAGAAGAGAAAAAGAAGAATTGTAATTACATAACTAGTTGCGAATAGCATTTTTTGAATAAAAGCGTGTATTATTTGAAGTGATATTCATATGTATATATATATATATGATACATATAAGAAAATAAAGTATTTTTTCTGAATATAAAATCCAAATATATTATATAAAATTTATGTAAATATATATATATATATATATATATATATATATATGTACAATTTTTTTACAATTTCTATATGAATTTCCAATTTAAATTTACAATGATATACAAAATGATTTTTTTTTTATTATATATATATCACCCAAGAAATATTCTAATATTGTATATATCTTACTGATGATTTTTTTTCTATGTATCATTCTTTCTTATAACATTATATTATTCGTTTACTATACAGGGTGATTTACTGACAAGTTAGGAGCTATATACTACAGGTCGAAAATACGTAAAATTTTTGTTCAGAACATAGTGTTTAATCCGAACGGTTTCCGAGCTACGGGAATTTTAAGAAAATTTACCGAAATTTTAACATACTAAAGTTTTTTTGCTTATAACTTCCGTTCCAAAAAAGAAAGAAGTTTCAAACAAATAGTTTTTGAAGGAGCTATAGAAGAGCTTTAATTAAAAAACAGTGGGTTATTTGGTTTTGTATGGTTTTTCGAAAATACAAGCATTCGAACTTTAGGAAAATTCCAATTTTACTCATCTTTTATTTTTTTACTTTTTCTTGTCCCGACAATTTCTCATGAACATCCAAAAATCCTCTTTACAGAAATTTTCCCAGCTGTTTAAGCTTTAATTTAAGACATTAACTGCTAAAATATCTTTTATGATACAGAAGATATAGCAGAAAAACCATTTCTGTGTCCCGTTTTCAAAGGCCTTAATCAAATGCGTAAAATCATTCTTAAAAGCAGTTCAGGTTTTTCAAAACTGTTGTTTTGAAAAAAAAAAAATTAATTTTAATGTTTTTATTCAAATACATAAATTTTAAAGTTTCCTTTACCCAATGATCTTTCGTTTTTACAGCTTTTTGCTACAAATGCTCAATTCCGGTTCCTAAAAATGATAACGGCTTTTTAGGGTGACCACTGTGATAAAAAATTAATTAAAGTTAATAATTACGGGACTTAATATCAATGAAAATGAAAAATAGTCATAATTTTTTGAGTTTACACATTTTGTTAAGGTACATGAAAATCGGAAATAGAAATGGTTTTTATGTCATATCTCTCGTACGGTAAAAAATTTTTTAACGTTTGGCGACTTAAATTGAAGCTTAAGAAAGCGCCCAAAATTCTGTAACACAAAAATTTAAAGTTTCTGAAACTTTCACACAAAATAGTAGGGATGAAAAAAATAAAAAAAATACGAAATGGAAAAAATTTGTGTTTTTCCAAAGTTCGAATGCTTTGTATTTCAAAAGTACATAAAATACAAATTCATGTATATTATATTTCTTTCAAGCCCTATAATTACTGCTTTCAAAAACTGTTCATTTGAAGCCTCTGTCTTTTTTGGAAGGGAAGTCATAAGAAAAAAAGTTTGGGCAAGTAAAAATTTCGTGAAAATTCGTTAAAATCCCTGTATTTCGGAAACTGTTGAGTTTTGACAATTAGCTTCAAACAAACATATTTTCATTTTTGATGTCCTAAACAATGATATATAATATTGTACTTTTTACTGAATCACCCTGTATAGGTAAGATATACAGTTATTAATAAAATATATCTTTATATATATCTTTATTGTGATATATATATAAAAATGTGCCTAATTTCTTGATATATATGTATAAAACTTTTATTACACATATTTATTATTTTTAATAATATTATTATTATATAAAAAAAGGTATCACTTTATCGAACTAATATATTTTTGTAAAATTTCAATATATACATACATATATATGTACATATAAATATATAAATATATACAAATGAAAAATGAAATCCAAAACATTTCAAACAAAACAGTTTTAAACAAAATGAATAAAAAATGCAATGATAAAATTATGAAAGACTTTTTTTTGTTTAAATGAACCAAACTTGTGATTTCGAAATTGCTAAAAATTCAGTAAATATACAATTCATAAACTGAATTGTATATTAAATACTGTATATAATTGCGGAATTTTTGAAATCAGAGAACATAAAAATTTTTTTTTTGTTTTTTAATAACTTTTAGTGTTTTCTTTATTTAAATTGAAAACCTAAAATGTCATTTAATAATTAAAACCCCTATTGTTGTTGAAAATCAGAGAATTTGATTTCAAAACAAGAAAAGTAACACGATATAACGGTACAATTCAGTTTATGCGTACTACATAATTGCCAAATTTTGTAGTTTTGATTTCCAAAATGCAGTACACTACAATATAACTGTATTTTCTAATTCTCATTCATATAAACAGAATTGGAAAATTCAGTTCAAATTTATATAAACGCACTTTGAAAAGCGTGGAGTTTTTTATAATTTTGGAAGTTCACAGAATTATATAGCTTTAACAAAATGGATGACATTTTAAGTTTAATTTCAATTTGTAAACATTTCTTTAGTTTTTTTTTTTTTTATTTTTATTTTAGAAATAATTTGTTGCTTTCCTTTTAACAATTTATATAAAAATATTTTATATGTTTTTTTCATATACAGAGTGATCCAGTAAAGAGTACAATATTATATTGTTTAGAGGATCAAAAATAAGTAAAATTGTTGTTTGGAACTAGTTGTCAAATCTCAATGATATAAAATATTGCACTCTTTACGAATCACCATGTATATCGTTTTAAATAGAATATATAATATAAACTTGAAAATTTAAATAGAAAATATAATATAATAAAATTGAATAAATTTTGTAAAAAGATTTCTGGTTTTCATTAATACATTATTAATATAATATTTCGCTTATAATTTATAATTGTTGAATTGTATATCAATATGGTATAACGTAATTTTTCGAAGTCACGGTAAAATATGCGGAATTAATACATGGCATACAGTAAATATAAGTGAATTAATGAATTTTGATATTTACTCAAAATATAGGTGCCCACCTATTAAATGTAAATCTTACTAAAAACTTGATTTATTAAAAAATATTTAATGTCAATTACTGAATAAATTTAGATTAGCATAAGTTTGCTATATTTATAGATTCTTGTTTATATATTTCCAAGAAGTAACACAAAAAAATAGAATTTGATTTTTCATATAAAATACCTTAATTTCAAAATTGCCGTAATATGGCATTGATACAAAATTCAGCTTATGTAATTAATAAACTAAATTCGTCATGTATACGTGACGAATACTAAAACTAAGACTAAAAGACTAAAAGATTTCTTAGTCTTAGAAATATTTAGCTAAAAGGTTTAAAGATTACAAAGAAAGAACAGACTTAAAGATTTTCATGAGAAGAAAAAGCAAACTTATGATAAAGTAAATGATAGTGATAAGTATTTGTAAGTGGGTCTTGGAAATAATTTGCCAATATAAAACAAAAACCAGAAACCTTCTATATAAGAAAAGTAAAACAAAAATCTAAATGACATACAAGTGTAAAAGTCAATTTAACTCATTCAGCAAATAAAATTGTATTTCTGAACCAGAGAGTTAATTTGGCATTAAATTTGCATTTATGTGCATAATTCTTTTTTTTTTTGTTTCTTATGTTTTCTATTTGAATTTTAATTTTTTATTTTCACTTTTCTTCTTTTTTTGTTGTCGTCTAGCAACTATAGTTACCTTGACTTCCAAAAGTCAACATAATATACAGTAGTGTCGTATTACTACATAATTCAGCAATTCACACAAGTAAGCTGAATTAATGCCGTACTACTGACTATCTTTTGGAAGTCAAGGTTATTCTTATTTGTTATATTTTGTTTTGATTGTATTTTGTTTTTGCGACTTTCGTTTTTTGTTATTTTAAATGCTTTTTGAATTATGTTTGCAATAATATTGTTAAATGTTGATACCGTTGTTTGTTGTTGTTGTTGTATTTGTTGGTTTGCTGTTGTTCTTATTTTCTTTTAGCAAAAAACAAAAATATATAAAAACAATTAATTCTTTTTTGTTAAATCTAAATTTTAATTGTTGTGTCTTGTGTCTAATTGTTGTGTTGCGTTAATTAATTGTTATGTATATTTAATTATTATTTTCTTAATAGTAAATTCCATTAATAATTTTCATATATCATGTATATAGTATACTAATTCATGGCATACGAAAATTTTTGGGTAGTAAGTATCCTTGATTTTAAAATTGCCGTAATACGGTATTAATTATACAATTCAGTTTATGAATTTCAACTGCTGAATTGTGTAGTCAGAGAGTATTACGAGTACTGCTTATTTTTGAAATCAGGGTGTACATTGCTGTGTGTGTTATTATAAACAATTCGGGAAGTATATAGCTTTTATAATTTAAATTGTATGTTGTAATGGCAATACAGTTATACAGTTAATTAGAAAATTTAAATGTAAAGAATTTTTATACAAATATATTATA